AAAGTAGGGTTTATTAGAGAGAAAGGAAAGGCTGCAGCTAGAGAAGTGCAGCGGAGCCTGGAAACCAGTAGCTCCCTGCTCAGGTAAAGGCTGGGGTTTTTATGGATGTTTTAACTCTGGGTTGGGGGGGTGTTTCTCATTGGTCATGCATTTCATGGGGGAGGGGAAACAATCTTGAGAGCATTTTGCTCCTCATCCCTGTGGCAGATCTATCAGACTCTGTATCTCTTCTCTAGGATGCAGGAATGCACGCCTCCATCTTCTCAGGATGCAGGAATGCTATTGCTCTCCAGGGGGGGATGGGATACTCACTCATCTGTCTTAGGTCTCCAGACCCAACACACCCACACAAATTTATGACAAAATATCCAACATACTTCTCTGGAATAAATTTCAAGACTCAAACTATACTGGCAAATGATCTGAAGAGTTCTATGTATGTTCGTACTAATCAGTTTTCAACTTGATAATCAGTATCAACCAACATATCTATAACCCTGAGTTAATCAATCAAACACTAATCTATGTAATGCCAGGAAGGTATTTGTACATGTGATTAACACTTCACAATCAGTAGACTGTAAGTGAAGGGGATTATCGCACTATCTGAGTGGGCCTGGATCGGTCAGTTGAATGGCCTCACGAGATGAACAGGTTTGGTGAACAAATTCTTCTTGGACAGCAGCGTTTTGTCTGACTGTTCCAGCCTGCCTTTCCTGATTGCCTGCTTTACCCAGCTCAGACTTGCCTGGGCAGCCCCCAGCTGCCCAGACTCAAAAGCTGTGTCTTCGTGAGCCCTGATAGCATTGAATGTGAGAACTTGCAAGTAGTAGTGTGTAGAATGGGAGCTTTATAGTTTCTTATTTGTGTCTCTATACAGTGCATTTTAATAATAGCAGATATAAATCTTTCATGCGAAAATATGTGAGCATATGTCATTTTTAATGGTAGTTTTTAAAAATATTGAGAATTGAGCCCTTCATATTGAAATTTAAAACTCTTTCTTAAAACTTTGGTAGCTCTTTAGTGTGGAGTTAACTTTAAGAACAGCATTCTCTCTCCTTTCTCATTTTGGAAGTAAAAATTCAGTTATTTTCATTCTTGTCATGTTGGGTCTGGAGACCTAAGGCAGATGAGTGAGTATCCCATCCTCCATGGAGAGCACTGTAATTCCTGCATCCTGAGGAGTTAGAGGCCTGCATTCTTGCATCCTGAGAGGGAGTTTGTAAACTGTATTTCTCCATCCTAAAAGAGAGATACAGAATTTGATAGATCTGCCACAGGGCTGAGGAGCAAATTGCTCTCAAGATTGTTTCCCTTCCCCCAATAAAGGTGCAAACCAAACCAGTTCATCTAAGAAAGCCTGTGAATCCATGGCCAATGAGAAAAACCCACCTAATCCAGAGTTAAAACGTCCATAAAAACCCCAGCCTTCACCTGAGCAGCAAGTTACCGGTTTCTGGGCTCCACTGCACTTCTCTAGCTGTAGCTTTTCCTTTCTCTCTAATAAATCCTACTTTATATACCAGCTTTGGCCCATTATTCAGCTGCCTCACGAGCCAGTTCCCTGGCCTGTGAAGGCAAGGACCCTCGACACTGGTCTGCAACACTTCAACACTAGCACGTAACAATCAGATACTTGTAAAAACACTTGTGGCTTCTGCTTTGACTTCTCTCCCAGGGTTTATATTTTCACTTGAAGTAGTCGTGTTCTAAAATCTCTGACCTCTGCTGATTTTTTTCACATACTTCTCAATAAAGAAATGTTATCATTTATTCTAATATAAATAATACGTTATATATATGAAAAATGTGTATAATGTTCTATTATGAACATTTTTTAAAACAAAGAAATGCAATGGAAAAATGTTAAGACATCAAAGTACATCCAAGCAGGGGTTCAAAAAGTCTCCTCTTGCCTCTTAAGAGTCACCTTTTACTTTTTCCATTTGTGGTCACTCTTTAAACAGACAAGTGTACAAAGAGGAGTCAGGGTTTCACACTGTTAAAAGCAGTAATGGGACCTGTTTGAAATTTGGCCTTTAAATTCTCAACAAACAAAAAAATAATTAAAGTTTTTTTTTCTTTGAGATGAAACACTTAGAGGCTATGGGTGAAGCTCAGTGGCACAGTGTAAGGAACTGCACAACAAAGACCACGCCACATGTAGAAAAGAAAGATTTATTGAAGCACAGACTCCTGGGCTGCCCCTCTCAGGTTCAGAGTGCAGCAGCTTGGCTGGAATGGGTAGGGGGCTTTATAGAAGGGGCCACACCTTGAGGGAGGGAGGGTGTTCCTCCCAGAGAACAGCCGGGCCGCTGGCCTCTGTTTATCTGTGATCACAAGATGGAATGGGTCAACATGCATAGCTAGTTATGGGAAGTTCCTGCAATTTTGCAAGCAGGGAAACAAGCAGGAGAGTTTTGCAAGTGGTCATAAATCAGGGGGAGTCTGGTTTCAGTGTTAGCCTTGGGACCCTCCACCTGCCCCAAGAATGCCAGGGACCTAACACATAGCACACGCTAAGTATTCTTAAGCCCTGTGTTAAAATCTCATGCTGCCATGCCCACACACAATTGTACAAACTAGCAATTTCACATTTAGGTATGCATGCAAGAGAAAGAAACACATATGTCTGCACTCATAACGTATAAAATAATAAATAAAGAGCTTCTGGAAGCTTCCATAAGCATGCTGAGAACTTAGTTCAGTTAGATCAGTTAATACTTAGATCAGTTAATACTGATCAGCCCAAAGTTCCCACAATTCAGTTAGCTCATTTATTACTCAGCTAAATACTGCTAACCACATTAACAGCCTTCACATCTTGGGCCACAGTAGAAATCTTGATAGTTTTTAAGGGTTTTATTTTTAGACATTTAATTTACATCCCAAATGGACCACTGATTTAAAATAGATTAAAAACAAACGACTATAAAACAGGTGGCAAAAGGAAACTAGCACTAAAATACTAGTTACTCAAAAGCATGAAAATGGGTAACTCTGCCTTTGGCCTTAGGGATCTTCACTTACCCATACATTTCACTTTGTACATCTTACAAAATAGTAAATAGAGTGGTAACTACACGCAATTTGTTTTTCATTTCTTGGGAATAAAAAGGGGTTACATCTGCAATGTTTTGTTTACAAACAGTCATACCTCTCTCATCATTTAGGAAAAATAGTTAAAGATTTCTTTCTTTTTTTTCAGAGGTATTAGGGTTTGAAGTCAGGGCCTTCACCTTGAGCCCCTCCACCAACCCTATTTTTGTGAAGGGGAACTATTTGCCTGGGCTGGCTTTGAACCTTGATCCTCCTGATCTGTGCCTCCTGAGTAGCTAGAATTACAGGCTTGAGCCACTAGTGCTCTTCTTCTAAAGTAATTTTTGATTAACTTTTTAATCTTCTAAAGCATACTTAATTTTAAACCTAGAAACATAGAACTCATCTCCCTTATCATGTATCTTCTTAGAAAAATGAAACACCTTGTATTAAATGTTAAGTAGGAAAAAATTAATATTTTTAAGAGAAAGGTCTACTCAGGAAATCTTTTGGTATTTATAAATTGAGTTTTTACTTTTGCTAGACATAAAAATGATGAGACATTCCTAAATGGCACACCGAAGTAAAAGGACTTAATGATTCAATAAAGGCAGGGAAACTCTACTCTAAATTGTCTTACTGAAGCCTGACCATAGCTGGGCGCTGGTGGCTCACACCTGTAATTGTAGCTCCTGGGGAGACAGAGGTCAGGAGACTCCCGGTTGGAAGCCAGCCCAGGCAAAGTTTTTGAGACCCTATCTTGAAAAATCCCATCACAAAAAAGTGGAGTAGTTCGAGTGGGAGAGCACCTGCTTCGCAAACGCGAGGCCCTGAATCCAAACCCCAGTGCAATTAAAAATAAATAAATAAATAAATAAAGGCTGACCAAGGACTTCACATAGTGTGCTCCTACTGCCGTGGCTCGTGAGTGGTATTTCAACTACGGCACTCTTTCCTCTAAAGGCAACACCCGAGTCTGCTTCATACCCTCCCAACATTTATTTATGTAAGCTACCCATGGTATCATACTATACACAATTGCTAAACACAGGGTATCGTTCAAATATTCTCAAAGTGGACACCAATATGAAAGTCAAAGTCCGTTTTATTACAAGGTCAAAAATTTTACAACTAGATTTCAGCGTCCCGTAATTATGAACATCTAGCAGAGCCGCAGGCACAGCAGTCAGTGAAATGTTTGTTGGAAACACATTTATCTTTTAGAAACACATGGAGTGTTTACATTTCCTCTGGGTTCCTATGTCTTCAATGGCGTTGATAAACGAAAGCATGAGAAAAATAACGGATCACACAAAAACCAATAAACGTCAGCGGGTGCTACGAACAAGAATTCAGCAGCAACTACATTTAAAGCTATCGGAGTACAAAGCTATAAAGCGTCCGGAACTACAAATCCCAGAATGACGGAGGCGGAGCTACTTTTAAATGGATAATTTGTTCATCCAATAACAGTCAGCGAACTCCCTATAGCATATACAAGGCGTGAATGACTGGTTCCTCCGCGTTCAAACAGAAATATTATTTAAGCTTTCCGGGCACATATGGTTGTTTTAGGGCCCGACTCTAACGATCAAATTATTTCTCACCTAGTCACCATTACAATTCTCTACCCCAGTTTCAAAAGGTAGAGGCTCTAGCGTCTACAACGTTGAAAGCAACCTACGGTACCAACAGGAACATCAGCTCTGAAGAGGAAGAGGCGGAACCCTCTTTATTCTTTCCATTTATTGGTCACGCAGTTTTCATTCCAACCAATAGGGTTGCTGAAACTGCCGTTAGCGTAGCATAGGGGCGGTACTGTGGCGCTCTCCGTAAACAGAGTCTACGCACGCTCAGACACCCTGCTCTTGGCCAATCGGAAGCTAGCAAAAAAGGCCCGCTCCTAGCACATTCCTGGCGCCCGTACACTTGGTCTCTTTCGCTTTCCCCTTGAGCGCCTCTCTGCTGCTGACCAATCCTCTGCACGCTTTTTTCCGCGTTTATCCAATCAGAGAGGCAGAGGGCGTAGTTCCGGTCTCCCTGTCCAGGCCACGGCAGAGGTTGTGTTCTTTCTACAGCTGAGGTTGGTGCTTGGGCTGAGGTTCTTTTTACCTGCAGGGCTGAGCCGGGCGAGGTTCCCGGCTTGGGCTGCTGCGGGGCGGATGAGTGTAGAAAGCCAGGGCCTCTGAGCGCCGAGGGCGGGGACGCCGAGGGGTGGGAGGCGCTGGGGAGAGCACGTGTTGGCGGGCCTGCGGGTCAGGTGGCGTCGCTGCCTCGCGGTCCCCCTGGGTGGTTTCCCAGTAAACGCGCAGCGCCCCTTCCAGTTTTCAAGGAAGGGTAGGGAGGACTTGTCTCACCCGCCTCCTGGTTTGGATGTTTTTCGATGTCGGAAAGCCACGTCGCTTAATGGACTGTGGCGCACCGCACGGATGCTGTGAACGTTCTTCATTTTTACGGGGAGAGCACTTAAGACATTCGTTTACCTCCCCTGTGCTCTCCATAGCGTGACCTTGACAATTTAGAACAAGTATGGCTTTGGCTTCCATAGAAATGAAAATTAAGCCGGACGTGGTGTGCACCCCTGCAATCCCAGCACACAGGAGACAGGCTGGAAGCCAGCATGGCTGCATAGTGAGACCCTGACTCCGACGACATGTTTTAGAAAGTAAAATTAAAAGATGCCATTAGTAGTAAAGTGTTGATTCTGTTTTCTTTCTTCACGTGAAATGATTTAAAAGTCAATACCAGGGCTGGCGGAGTGGCTCAAGTGGTAGAGCACCTGCCTAGCAAGCGACAGGCCCTGAGTTCAAACTCCACTCCCTCCTCCCCCCACGTCAGTACGACATACCTGGAAGTGAATTGGTTGTTGTCATGGAGGTTACATGAACTAGTAGAAAGATACCAGAATAGGAGCTAGTTCCTGACCTCTGTCTGCCATCCTTAACTTTTTATTTATTTTTTGACAGTACCGGGGTTTGAACTCAGGACCTCGTGCTTGCTTGGCAGGCGCTCTACCACTTGAGCCACTCGCCAGCCCTTTTTTCGTGTTGGGTGTTTTTGAGATGGTGGTCTCTCAGGAACTTTTTGCAGGGGCTGGCCTCAGACCTCGATCTTCCTGATCTCTGTTTCCTGAACAGCTATAGGATTAGAGGCGTGCCACCAGTGTCGGCTCATCCTCACCTTCTTTAACTACAGAATTAAAGTCAGTACCAAACTTCACTACTTACTGTGATGATGAAATGAGAAAATGGATGTAAACGCTTACTGAGATCAGCTATAGATGTTGTTTTCTACTGTGCCGAGATTGTTTGAACCTACAGTTCAGAACAAAACAATGGTAACATGCCATCAAGCATGAAATACCTCTTAGCCTGTGTGGACAACTTAGGGGCTTGTCCAGGCTTCAGAACACTTTTCCCGGGTGTGCAGAAAGAAGTCTGATTTGTATTCTTAGAACTCTTCTGAGTTCTTTTCTCTTGCCTTGTATCCATACAGCTTTTGAATCTATCTTTATTTTAACTTACAATCATGACTTTCTGCAACTTTTTGTTGTTTTTCTCACTATGTAGCCTAAGCTGGATTGAACTCCATCTTTCTTCCTCAGCCTCCTGAGTGCTGGGATTACAGGTATGTGCTAGCAACTTCTGTTTATTATAAATAGAACTTTTTTTTTTGTTATCTCATAATGTTTTGAAGATCTGTGTTTTTTCAGTGGTTTCTGAATAGTTATTTGCATGTACTTGGTAGCAAAACCACAAATGTCTGTGTTCTGAACTACTGGAACCATCTTTGTATTGATTTAGTTGACTATTTTAAGGTGAATTATGTGCAGCTCCCTGTTAAACTAAAGAAAAGATTTGTCGATTTCTTATGGGTATTATAAATGACTGACTTAAAACAACATGGATGTATTATCTTTTCAGTTTTACAGGTCAGGAATCTGAATTCATTTTCACAGGGCCAAAGTCAAGGTGTCTCAGGACTGATTCCTTCTGGAAGCTCTCAGGAGGATCCACTCCTAGTCTTTTTCAGCTACTAATGGCTGTAGTCCTTGACTTGTAGTTCCTTCCTGCAAATAGTGTCACTCCAGTGTTTGCTTTTGTCATTCTGTCACCTCTGTTGTAGGCAAGCCTCCTTTGGATGAGGGCACTTGTGGTTATTTGTAGGGTCTCCCCAGATAGTCATGGACAATTTATTCCATTTTAAGATGTTTAATTACATTTGTAAAGCCTCTTTTGTTGTATAATGAAACATTCTTAGGTTCTAGGAATTAGGACCTATCCAAAGGGTATGAAGAAGTAAAACATCGTGTGTAATGCAGCTGAATGCATAGTAGGGGATTTAACAGAAAAGTTCACATTAAATCACTGGTGTTAGACTTTCAGACTGCTGTGAAAAGAGCCTTTTCAGGTGGAGTAGGTTGGGGCTTTCCCAGCTTTTCCACGGGAATATCTAACAACAGAGGTGAGTGAATAGTCAGTCCTACGATGTCTGCACATACCTGGGATTAATCCTCAGGAAGAGTAAGTTGCATTGAATTCTAATCTACCTTAAGAATTCAAGTGGCTTTTGCATTCAGTTTCATAATATGTTCAAAATTGATGCTGGTTAAAATTATTTATCATATCATGATGATGCTCTTCCTGGGACAGAGATAGCTGTTTCTTCTGTAGCTTGTTTCTTAGTCTATTAAAGTCATAGGCATCTATCCCCCCAGTTTTAAGTAGCATGACCTCAGGTGATGGGAATTGAAACCATTTAAATAAATCAAGCTTTTGGGTCCCATTGCTCCTAACTCTGAATGTGCAGTAGGCTTTGGAGAACTGGACTGACGAGATCACTTCCTGTCCCATCATACACTCCTCCCCCCCACCCCCCCAAGAATACAGTAGATCTGGTGACTTAAGGTTTTCAATATTCAGAAGAAGACAGCCATCTCTTGCGTTCTCATCTCTTCCTTGGACTCCTAACTTTTAGGAAACAGGATCTGATTGAATTGGGTTTGTTAGCAACTATTCAAAGAACTGTGCTTGTTTTTTTTTTTTTTTTTTTGGGTGGCACTGGGATTTGAACTCAGAGCCTCACACTTGGTAGAATGCAGGCATTCTACCACTTGAGCCTCTCCACCAGCCCTTTTTTGTATTGGACATTTTTGAGATAGGGTCTTGTGAACTGTTTGCCCGGGCTGGCTTTGAACCAGGATCCTCCTGATCTCTGTTTCCTGAGTAGCTAGGATTACAGGTGTGAACCACAGGTGCCTGGCTAAGAACTCTGCTTTTTGTATGGACCAGGACTGGTAGTGATCTACATTATTTTTTCTCATACTCTGTTGGCTAGGTGTCTGTCATATAGCCACATCTAATTAGTCTAGTATGTCTATAGCCATTGATCTGTCCATGTGCTAGCAGTCTGTGCTATAATGACTAATACATCTAGCCAGCTACTTGCAGCTTTGCCTCAGTTCTTGGTTTCTTCACTCTTGACTAGCCTTTGTCATCCAAATGGCTGTAGAGAACACTATTGAGTACTCCCTTTGAAGCTGGCTCTAGACCTGTGCTAAGATCTGGTCCATAGCAGAAAGCCTCTCATTCTTTGCCCTGATAAAGTGGCCAGCGGCAGTACAGTGCTGTCATTTCTCCTTGTACTAGTTGAGCATGTAACAGGTCAAAGTCCCTTAGACTTTTCCAGCATGAATCTTGTATCATCAGTTTACAGGGAACCAGGTCAGGCCACTTTAATGCATGGTTGGGGGCAAGGAAAAAATTTTACAGTAGTCCCATGAATAATTTCTTCAAAAGAAATTCTGTTTTTCAAATTCTTTTCTCTGGTGCTTGTATTCCCTCAGTTAGTGTCAGGCTAATTGCAGAACAAGTTTTGGGGCATCTTTGCAAGCCTGATGTGAATGGTAGTATACACTTTAGGCCACAATGTTTTTATTCTTTTACACTTAAAGTGCAGTTTGTTGAGAGTTCTCTTGATTATCTGTTTATATAATGTAGGCTACTTTGCTTATTTATTTAAGGTTCACATTTTGTTCACTAGCCCTCTCTGTTTCTTGATAAACCAAGTTGCCTTCATTGATTGAGATAAGTGAGATCTGAAAATGGTTTTATTTTTATGGTACTGGAGATTGAACTCAGGGACTGTACTTCCCAGACAGATGCTCTACCACTTGAGCCATACCCCCAGTCCTTGTGCCTTTAGTTTTTCAGATAGGGTATCATGCTTTTGCCCGAGCTGACCTTGGACTATAATCCTCCTTCCTATGTCTCCTAAGTAGCTGAGATTACAGGAGTGGTGGCTTTTTGGTTGTTGTTATTGTCGTTTGGGTTTTTTTTTTTTTTTGACAGTATGGGGTTTTGAACTCAGAGCTTCATGCTTGCTAGGCAGGTGCTCTACTGCATGAGCCAGGCCTCCAGCCCTTTTTTTACTCTGTAAATACAGTTTTATTTTTTGTGTAGGAGATTTGAAACTGCAATTCCCTCTTATTTTACACTTCCTTCAGTTGCTGGGATGACAGGTGCATGCCACCATGCCCAGCTGTTGGTTGAGATGGGGTCTTGTGAACTTTTTGGCTAGGCTTGTCTTGAACCATGGTCTGCCATGGTTCTCAGACTCCCAGGCTGCCAGGTAGTTATGATTGTAGGCATGAGTACATGTTGAACATCCTTGATCTGAAATCTAAAATGCCCCCAAATCTAAAAGTTAAGCCACAAGTGAACAATTCCATACCACAAAACTTTGTTTCATGCACAAAACTACTGAAAATATAGTATAAAATTTTAGGCTATGTATGTAAAGCATATATGAAACATAAATGAATTTTATTAGTAGACTTGGGTTCCATTTCAAAAAATACCTTTATGTATGTGGAATTATTCCAAAGTCCAGAACACTTTTGGTTTCAAGTATTTCAGATAAGGGATATCTAACCTGGACTGTTGGAAGGTCACATTATTTCACATTTAATAATTCAAAATTGTATTCACTTAGTTTTACACGCAGATTTTTCTGGGTTCCAAGTTCATTTTGGCAGGATTAAAAGTTTCATAATTGTAGCTAGATAAATTATATAGCATATGA